ATTTCACAGTAATAAAGAAGTATTTGGTTCATAACTGGGTCGTATGGGGTAGTATTGGGTGGTATGGGCACGGACTTAGATCTAATCTAATTCCGTGGTATGGGGTAGTATTGGGTCATAGTCACGGCAATTCGGTGATGTTTTCGACACCAAATCGCATATTTCCCGATAAAATATGGCAGATGGAAGTAAATAACGTCTACAAAGTTGATATTTCACAGTAATAAAGAAGTATTTGGTTCATAACTGGGTCGTATGGGGTAGTATTGGGTAGTATTGGGTAATTAGACGCGCCGTTTGAAAGGGCTCATCTAAATCCCTCTACGCTTTCTGTGCATACTACTTTATCATCCAGTTGGTTCCAATCAAGTGATGTTTTGAGAAAGAAGGAGTTCTTGTATGCTTCCCGTTTGTATCCTGGGATGATTAATGGCCCTGAGCTGTTGACAATGTTCCTGTTTAATGTTGTTGATGTTTCATAGTTCACATAACGCTTTGTGTTTTGATTTTCGCGTCCTTCCAGAGTGCTGGGTTATCTGATCTGGGGGTAGGGCTGGCATTAACCCTTCAACTACTTTGTACATGAATACTAGTCACTGTGATTTTCTTCTGTTTTGTAAGGTTGGTAGTTTTAGGCGTTGTAGCATTTCTGTGACACATTCTTCATCCCGACTATTGTAATTTCCAGTAATTCTAGGCGAGCTGCTCTCCTTTGTATTCTCTCTAGCTTTTCAATGTCTGATTTTAGATGGGGGTCCCAACTAATACTGCCATAGTACATAATTGATCTAGAACAAGTGATATATGTGCTTTTTTTCTCACTCTTTTGGGCAGTGTTTTAAATTTCTTCTCAAAAAGTCTTGTTGAGCTCGCTTTCCATGCAATGTTTCCTATATGATTACAACATTTGAGGTCGTTTGATATCTGATGTCGTAGGTATGGATTGTTTTGTACCTCTTCCAAAATGTGGTTATTCAGGCTATAGAATTTTGTTGACTTTTTCCTAATTGACTTGATGAAGCATTTTTTGGCATTAAATTTCATGCCCCATTTATCTGTCAATTCTTAAAGGTTTTGTAGGTCATTTTGGAGGATGTTATGGTCAATGAATATTCTGATTTGTCGATACAAAAGACAGTCGTCGGCGAAATGGCATATTTGTGATTTGAATGAGTCTGGTAGGTCATTTATATGGCAGAGGAAAAGAAGTGATCCTAGTACTGTCCCTTCAGACACTCTGGAGGCGATGTGCATGTGTTCCTCCTTAGATGTTGTGCCTTCAAGTACAACCTTCATTTTCCACTGTGTTAGGAATGACGTTGCCCTGGCACGCCGTACTGCACAACTTTATGCAAAAGTTTCTTGTGTGGCACGGTGTCAAATACTTTGGAAAAGTCTAGTATTGCTATATCCACCTGGTTCCCATTGTCGTGTGCTTTGAAGAAGTCATTTGTAGTCAAGAGTAATTGTGTCTCAAAGCAATAACCAGATCTGAAGCAATGATTTAGATTGGTGAGTATACTTTATGTTTTTCAAAATGTTTTAGGATGTGTCGACAGATGATAAGATCCAGAAGTTTGCAGGGGACTGATGTTAGTGACACTGGGCGATAGTTTTCCCGTAGTGTTTGTCACCCTTTTTAAATATGCAAAATTGTTGGCATTTCTCCAGTCTGCTGGAAGTTCTCCCGAGTCTAGTGATTTTTGAAATATTTTTGTGAGTCCTAATAATATTTCTGTCGCGCATTCTTTGAGGATTCTGTTTGGTATTCCATCTGGTCCTGAAGCTTTTGATATGTTTAAGTAGTTTTGCAACACCGTTTGTATCTACGTGAAGTTTCGGAAATGTTTCCTGTACACGTTTTGTTGTTTCTGGTTTGTTGCTGTCTTTTGGTGAATACTGATTTAAATTGTTGGACTAATATATCTGCCTTTGATTGACTGTCACTGGGTCGTACCTTTGCTTTTAAGGGGGGCTACTCCAATTGAGTCTTGCTTTTTTGATTTGATGTATTTCCAAAACGGTTTGTTGTTGTTATTTTTGAGACCTTTTAGAATGTTTGTGTTAATGTACTCCCATTCTGCTCTCTTTGGGTGTTTTTTGCATTCCCTTTGATGGTGTCTATAGTTCTTCCAATTATTAGTTCTTTTGACTTGTTGGTAAAGTCTTTCTTTTTTCTAATTATTTTCCGTTCTTTAGATTTTATCCATGGTAGTTTGTTTCGTGTTCGTGCAACTTTTAATGGTATGTGGGTGCCATAGCATTGCGCAAGTCCTCTTTAAATGTTCTCCCGAGTCATTGACATTTGCATCATTTTGGTAGTCATGATCAAATTCTCGAGCCAATAATAAATTTTTGCTTTTTGAGTCCAAAATCTTTGTCAGGCCTTTATCCAGTTCTATTCAGTCTATGTTGTTTCTGTGCGGCATGGAAAAATAACCTTTAATGAGGTCCTTGTCCTTAATGATCAAACTCTCTAGCAAATAATAAATTTTTGCTTTTTGAATCCAAAATCTTTGTCAGTCCTGTATCCAGTTCTATTAAGTCTATGTTCTTTCTGTGCGGCATGGAAAAATAACCTTTAATGAGGTCCTTGTCCTTAATGATCACATTCTCTAGCAAATACTAAATTTTTGCTTTTTGGGTGCAAAATCTTTGTCAGGCCTTTATCCAGTTCTATTAAGTCTATGTTCTTTCTGTGCGGCATGGAAAAATAACCTTTAATGAGGTCCTTGTCCTTAATGATCACATTCTCTAGCAAATACTAAATTTTTGCTTTTTGAATCCAAAATCTTTGTCAGTCCATTATCCAGTTCTATTAAGTCTAAGTTGTTTCTGTGCGGCATGGAAAAATAACCTTTAATGAGGTCCATGTCCTTAATGATCACATTCTCTAGCAAATACTAAATTTTTGCTTTTTGGGTGCAAAATCTTTGTCAGTCCATTATCCAGTTCTATTCAGTCTATGTTGTTTCTGTGCGGCATGGAAAAATAACCTTTAATGAGGTCCATGTCCTTAATGATCAAAGTCTCTAGCAAATCCTAAATTTTTGCTTTTTGGGTGCAAAATCTTTGTCAGTCCATTATCCAGTTCTATTCAGTCTATGTTGTTTCTGTGCGGCATGTAAACATAACCTTTAATGAGGTCCATGTCCTTAATGATCACATTCTCTAGCAAATACTAAATTTTTGCTTTTTGGGTGCAAAATCTTTGTCAGTCCATTATCCAGTTCTATTCAGTCTATGTTGTTTCTGTGCGGCATGGAAAAATAACCTTTAATGAGGTCCTTGTCCTTAATGATCAAATTCTCTAGCAAATAATAAATTTTTGCTTTTTGGGTGCAAAATCTTTGTCAGGCCTTTATCCAGTTCTATTCAGTCTATGTTGTTTCTGTGCGGCATGTAAAAATAACCTTTAATGAGGTCCTTGTTTCCTCGAAGGTTGATTTTCACCCAATCTACTTCACAGTCTGTAACATATTCTGGTTGTTCAACTGATGTTATGGATTTTTTCACTAGAATGAATACACCTCCTCCTAGGGTTCCTCTGTCATTTCTGTATACTTCATATTCGGGGGGAAATATCTAGATTTAATAGCGTCTTTTGTTGGATTGAATCCTGGTTTAATTCCTTTCAGCCATGATTCTGTCCCACATACAATGTCTGGTTTGATGTACTCTAGTGCAGCTTCCAGTTCTTGTTCTTGATCTTTAATGCTTTAACAATTTACAGTGAGAATTCTGAGGTAATCTTTATGAGACAGGTGGAAGATTGAACTTTCATTGTTACGTACAATTTTTGGTGTTCCTGATGATTTCATACTGCTGATATTTGTTATCCAACTTATCAACTTTCGCACCACTTTTATTCCATCAGGTCATGAGTTCCTGTTGGTTGGAATGTAGCATCTCTTGTTCTAGGTATTTACCTTTACTGTCCGTCAAGATCACTGGTGTTCGTGATCTGTTACCTTTCTGTAGGCTTCACATTCTTTGCCTTGGAAGAAATTTTCTGATCTTGTTCTCGCTCATATCACACGCACTGTCACTAATTTAAACAATCGTTGAAATACTGTTGGTGATGAGTGTTCACAAAACAGTGTTTGAATGAAATACAGGAGATCAAGCACTAGTAAAGGCTGAATATTACGAGTCTAGAGAAGCTGTTAATGTAAGATTTTGGTAGAATTTTCCAAATAAACGGTAGAAATACACGTTTTGTTGGTGATGATTCTCGCACTTCATAAGCTAATATGAGCTCCAAGCTATGGGCTTGTCTAACCAGAATACTTTTGTATAATACAGAATCTGTACCAGCTCTATAAAACCTATTCGACTGAATATTTATGGAAAAATATATCTTAATCGCATTGTCCCTCAGATTTGTTGTTGGACTGCAGCTGAATGAATTATTCATTCAAAACTGTTCTTTTTATGATTTAATGTTAGGAAATTAAACTGACAAGCTGGCTTTTGTTATCGCTTTTCTTAGTTCAAATCTGCGAAAAATAGTATTAAGTATTTCTGAATTAGATATAATTTGAATTTATATTCGGTACATCATGATGATTAGGTCAATGACATTTGGATGATTTAAAAAGCGTTGCTGCATTCCTCCCTCCTTTTTCTAAATCTACGCCCTCGAAAACACCATTATTTATAATCCAGGTTTGGGTATATCCTTGCAAAGCGTACACCAAATGCTTGAAACAAGGGTTGGTCACAGGCACAACCATAACAGGAGATTGAAAAATGCACAGCCACCAGGATTCTGACTTTGGGCCCTCCGAACTCTGGATGCTCTTCTAATTAAACTATTGGTTGCCAAAGAGCAACCTGTTAGTCCATTTCCACTACAATTGATTAATATATAAACACAATACTACTAGGACTGTTCCAAATAACACTGTTGTACACTGAAGTTATAGTACTCACAGGAAAATGATTGTGTCAAATTGTAAATCAACAGTGTTTTGGTTTTGAAAAAAGTAAAACATGTTTTCAAAATCAAAATAGTGAAGTTTTATTCGTTTTTGATAATCCATGATAAGTTAAACTGTCAAGTTTACAACTATAAACGTGAAATACATGTAATTTGCAAATGGTGATCTCTGGTACAGTGCCAGTTCTTCTTTTTCCAAAATTTTATTCGAGACATTTCCCAAAGTACTACGGAAAATCCTAAACATTCTACAATTCCTCAAGCACTTACTGATTGAAATAACTTTATTTAATAGCGTATACTTTATTCTTATTAATAAAAATGATTACATCTTTTTTAAACTTTTTTTCTACTAAATCATCATTGAAAAAAAATGTTCACCTGCAGACACAAAAGAAATCATCAATTGAGATCTATGTCTGTAATTGAAAAAAAGAATTGGATATGAAATAGATTTAAATATGCTACTGGTATTAAGAAATCCGTGTAGCACGGCCAATATGCATTGGAAACTGTTTTCCTGGCATGACTAGAGCTTTGATATTTCACTACTGAAAAGAAATCCATATATGATCATAACTTAGCAGGACTTTTATTAACAAATAATAAAGATGAAACAAATAAGTGATCTGGCTGTAAAAATTCAGTTAGGTCAGACTTTGATTTAAACCCTGTACCTCAGATTACTATGCTGTCATTCTAATCAACTGATCATGAGCTACCTATAGTTCATGGTACCCTGGCCCAACTTCACTGCATAAAATCAAGGGGAGGCTACTCTATATACATAACAGTGGAATTCTCTAGAGATTTGCCTGAAGTGGGACCGAGACCCTTATGATACCATTATATTTTAAACCAAATTATAAATTATAATGTTTTTTTTTTTTTTTTTTTTTTTATTAAGATGGCTTCCAAAAGAGTGAATACTACTGCCACAGGGCGGCTCAAGCAGGACTACTTGAGAATCATGAAAGATCCGGTTCCTTATGTTCAAGCCATTCCTTTACCGAGTAATATTTTAGAATGGTATGTATCCAGATATCAGACTGAGAAAGTGTTCGGTTTGGACCTCATGATGTCAAAAATGATATAAATGTATATTTTGTATTCTTAATACTATACTCACATTAAGCCATAGTATAAATGTTTGTTTCCATCTCTATATATATATAGCTATTCAACACAAAAATAGTATGCTCAATCAATTTAATGCTACATTCGTTTTTGAAAATTGATAAATGTTTCATCCAAAGTTCTTTCCTTCTATTATTAAGTTTTAGAGTTAATAATATATTAGGTTTATTGTTTTCAACAAGATAGCTTCCAAGAGACAAAGCACTACTAAAAATATTGTATTTTAAGTTATGATTCACATAATATTCACTTTCCGTTGAATGGTTTATGCAATACATAATATATACATAAAATATATGCAAGGTATAGAATATTCAGTTTGTATTGCTATAGCGTACCAGTTATGTTTGACTGCATATTTTCTGTCTTTCTTTCAAGGCATTATATAGTGACTGGTCCAGAACAGTCACCATATGAAGGTAAGTATTTTTAAGGTGTATATATACACTGCAAATCAGGAAATTTTCGCTGCAGTTGAATTTTGCCTCTGCAATATGGGCAAATATATCATAACAGCAACTAATAGTACAGTTTATTTTATATGGTTATTGCATGATGCGCAGGTGAAATTTACATGGGACGCATATGGATTTTACGGGTGAAATTTACATGGGGCGCATATGGATTTTACGGGTGAAATTTACATGGGGCGCATATGGATTTTACGGGTGAATAGTGAGTATTTGACAAGGCAAAAGTTAACTGGTATACAGTATAGGGTTGTCACTGCTAAGGTCAAATTATATCAGGCCTCTAGCACACTAAAGTCATTAAAACATTATCATTCTCTGTTGAATATCTTGTGTCATTATATATATAGGATCAATCAGAGGTCATCCCTAGCTTGAGGTCAGGGGTCTGAAAATAATTGTTTTTTGTCTCGCCGCTACAAGTAGCGGAAGCGAGACTATAAGGTGGTGCTTCCATGGCGGCAACAGCATGAACATAGTTTTTGCATTTAAGTTAGTTTCACTGAAAGTGTAAGTGCTACACCAACCAAACTTGGACCATAGATGCATCTTGTGTAGTACATCTCAACCCATGCATCAAATGCTGGATGCAGCCTACCTTTCATGGTCCATTGACTTTGTCAGTATCTCCATCAACATTAAGATTTTGTGTTTAAGTTAGTTTCTCTGAAACTAAGTGCTAGACCAACCAAACTTGACATGTGCATTGATGGTCAAAGCGGGGTGCAGGCAAGACATATGAATTTGAATGGCTTTTATTAGAGATGTTTAAAGTTTTGAATAAGTATCATTTTATTTTTTTAATCAATTTCAATTTCAGGTGGCATCTATCATGGAAAGCTGATCTTCCCTCGAGAGTTTCCCTTTAAGCCACCCAGTATATATATGATCACCCCCAATGGCAGGTTTAAGTGTAACACAAGGTAAGATTGTCCCTCAGAATTAGTCCCTTATATTACATGTAGTACATTTGACCTTTGTCTTGAAAATTTATATAAAAAATGTTGTACATATATTACATGCTTAACAAGTTTAACATTTCCTCACCAACTTCTTATTTCAAATAAAACAACATATATATAAGTTATGATCTTCCAAAATATTGCATGCATCTCACATATCAGGAAATGCTCAATTTGGATGTGAATGGACTTCCAACTACTGTCATAGATTGTCCTCAAAGATACAGATCAATAAGTGTTGAGTAAGTTATCGTCACATATTTCCTTACACAATGTTGCTGTACATTTGTATGTTTCATAGATGTTTTAAATTTGATTGACAGGTTATGTTTGTCCATAAGTGATTTCCACCCAGACACCTGGAATCCAGCATGGTCCGTGTCAACTATCCTTACTGGCCTTCTCAGCTTTATGGTAAGTCGTCATCATTCCAAGCATAGGTATAACACTGGCTTGAAAACTCAGAATGTCCTGAAAAGTTTTTATACTCCTGCAAAGAAGTTGTAGGGGTATACTGGATGTATTTGGGCAGTAGACACACTGTTGTTTGCCCTACTCCATTAAAAGTAAACAGAACCCTTACATTGAATACACAGAAGGGGTGTGAATAAAATATAAAGACTTAGAATTATCACCAAAATTTATGGAGTTATTCCCCTTTATTGAAAAACATCATTCATATTTTACTTCTCCCAAAGTATTTCTCAGATTTGATTGATATATGATATGTGAATTAAGTATAAAGAATGGAGCTAGCTGCCCCATTTATGGAGTTGTGCTCCTTTTTTGGAAAACATTGTTCACACTTCTCCGTAAGTACCGCATACATTTCAATATTACTAGATGTGCAGCACCCTTACATAAAGGGGATGTGAGTAAAGAATACAGATTGGAGTTATCTCACAAATTCGTGGATTTATTTTTTACTTTTGTTGAAAAGCATTGTTCATATTTCTCCTTCCAAGTATTGCACAGGTTTAAATGATACTTGGTACCTATTTATAGAGTTATGCCCCTTCGTTGGAAACTATTGTTCACACTACTCCTCTTTAAGTAGAGCACACATTTCAATAATACTTGGTTCCCAGACATAGAGGGGATGTGAGTAAAGAATACAGATTGGAGTTATCTCCTCAAGTTATTGTCTCACTACTTATCTAAAATTGTGCCCATTTCTTCAAAATGTTTGTGCTATTTTTGTGGGTCAGTTTATTAGTTCCCCATCGGTACTACCGGAGGAGACTATGGACTAAGTACTATACCTAGTACAATGTAACTTCACTTGCTTGTGTGCCTCTGAGAGTACAGCATGTTGCTTTGCATTTAAACAAATTGCATCCTTGACCTTTGAACTAGACCTCAGTGAGATTGCATTTAAGATTTTAAGTACAGGAACATGGCATTTGTGTCTTACAGGCATATTTCTTGTTCAATATTTATTTTGTTCAATTTTTGTATTATTTTTTTTTCAGTTGGAGAAGAGTCCAACTCTGGGAAGTATAGAAACTTCAGATGCTACGGTAAGTTTTTATTTATAACCTAATGTTACTACAGTATTTTCGAAGAAAAAGGGGATACCGATGCACATACATATTAACATGTTTACAGATGAGTTTGTTGGTGAATGTGATCTGTGCTTACATTTTTATACATACTTAATTTAAGGACAGACAAAAATGTTGAATGCTACAGAGATATAACTTTTAAATATTTCTACTTTTTTAACAGAAGAGACAGCTAGCTGCAGCTAGTGGCCAATTTAATCTCAATGACAAAATCTTCACCGAACTGTTTCCTACTGTTTCTGTGGTAAGTATAGAAATCTATCTAGTTAATGAATGGTATTTAATAGTGTGAAATTATTGACAATGTTTTGTTATTGTAATTTCATTCTTACTATTCCACGTTATGATTAACTTAAAATAACCTGCTACAGTGAACAAAACAAGAGTGGGCTACAGCTATTACCTACGATGTTAACTTCAGAAGCTATTACCTACAATATTAACTTCAGAAGTAACAGTAGGCTACAGCTATTACATACAATGTTAACTTCAGAAATAACAGTAGGCTACAGCTTTTACCTACAATGTTAACTTCAGATGTAACAGTAGGCTACCGCTATTACCTACAATGTTAACTTCTGAAATAACAGTAGGCTACAGCTATTACCTGCGATGTTAACTTCAGATGTAACAGTAGGTTACAGCTATTACCTACAATGTTACCTTCAGAATTAACAGTAGGCTACAGCTATTACATACAATGTTAACTTCAGAAATAACAGGCTACAGCTATTACCTACGATGTTAACGGCAGATGTAGCATTAGGCTACATCTATTACCTACAATGTTAACTTCTGAAATAACAGTAGGCTACAGCTATTACATACAATGTTAACTTCAGAAATAACAGGCTACAGCTATTACCTACGATTTTAACTTCAGATGTAATAGTAGGCTACAGCTATTACCTACAACGTTAACTTCAAAAGTAACAGTAGGCTACAGCTATTGCCTACAATGTTAACTTCAGAAGTAACTGTCAGCTACAGCTATTACCTACAATGCTAACTTCAGAAGTAACAGTAGGCCACAGCTATTACCTCGATGTTAACTTCAAAAGTAACAGTAGGCTACAGCTATACCTATGATGTTAACTTCAGAAGTAACAGTCGGCTACAGCTATTACCTCGATGTTAATTTCAGAAGTAACAGTAGGCTACAGGTATTACCTACAATGTTAACGTCAGAAGTAACAGTAGGCTACAGGTATTACCTACAATGTTAACTTCAGAAATAACAGTAGGCTACAGCTATTTCCTATGATGTTAACTTCAGAAGTAACAGCAGGCTACAGCTATTACCTCGATGTTAACTTCAAAATTAACAGTAGGCTACAGCTATTACATACAATGTTAACTTCAGAAATAACAGGCTACAGCTATTACCTACGATTTTAACTTCAGATGTAACAGTAGGTTACAGCTATTACCTACAATGTTACCTTCAGAATTAACAGTAGGCTACAGCTATTACATACAATGTTAACTTCAGAAATAACAGGCTACAGCTATTACCTACGATTTTAACTTCAGATGTAACAGTAGGTTACAGCTATTACCTACAATGTTACCTTCAGAATTAACAGTAGGCTACAGCTATTACCACGATGTTAACTTCAGAAGTAACAGTAGTCTACAGCTAGTACCTATGATGTTAACTTCAGAAGTAACATTAGGCTACAGCTATTACCTACAACGTTAACTTCAAAAGTAACAGTAGGCTACAGCTTTTACCTACGATGTTAACTTCAGATGTAACAGTAGTCTACAGCTATTACCTACAATGTTAAGTTCAGAAGTAACAGTAGGCTACAGCATTTACCTATGATGTTAACTTCAGAAGTAACATTAGGCTACAGCTATTACCTACAACGTTAACTTCAAAAGTAACAGTAGGCTACAGCTATTGCCTACGATGTTAACTTCAGATGTAACAGGAGGCTACAGCTATTCCCTACAATGTTAACTTCAGAAATAACAGTAGGCTACAGCTTTTACCTACGATGTTAACTTCAGAAGTAACAGCAGGCTACAGCTATTACCTCGATGTTAACTTCAAAAGTAACAGTAGGCTACAGCTATTCCCTACAATTTTAACTTCAGAAGTAACAGTAGGCTACATCTATTACCTCGATGTTAACTTCAAAAGTAACAGTAGGCTACAGCTATACCTATGATGTTAACTTCAGAAGTAACCGTAGGCTACAGCTATTACCTACAGTGTTAACTTCAGAAGTAACAGTAGGCTATAGCTATTACCTCGATGTTAACTTCATAAGTAACAGTAGGCTACAGCTATGACCTACGATGTTAACTTCAGAAGCTATTACCTACAATATTAACTTCAGAAGTAACAGTAGGCCACAGCTATTACCTCGATGTTAACTTCAAAATTAACAGTAGGCTACAGCTATTACCGACAATGTTAACTTCAGAAGTAACAGTCGGCTACAGCTATTACCTACAATGTTACCTTCAGAAGTAACAGTAGGCTACATCTATTACCTCGATGTTAACTTCAAAATTAACAGTAGGCTACAGCTATTACATACAATGTTAACTTCAGAAATAACAGGCTACAGCTATTACCTACGATTTTAACTTCAGATGTAATAGTAGGCTACAGCTATTACCTACAGTGTTAACTTCAGAAGTAACAGTAGTCTACAGCTATTACCTACAATGTTACCTTCAGAATTAACAGTAGGCTACAGCTATTACATACAATGTTAACTTCAGAAATAACAGGCTACAGCTATTACCTACGATGCTAACTTCAGATGTAACAGTAGGCTACCGCTATTACCTACAATGTTAACTTCTGAAATAACAGTAGGCTACAGCTATTACATACAATGTTAACTTCAGAAATAACAGGCTACAGCTATTACCTACGATGTTAGCTTCAGATGTAACAGTAGGCTACAGATAATACCTACAATGTTAACTTCAGAAATAACAGGCTACAGCTATTACCTACGATGTTACCTTCAGAAGGAACAGTAGGCTACAGCTATTACCACGATGTTAACTTCAGAAGTAACAGTAAGCTACAGCTATTACCTGCAATGTTAACTTCAGAAGTAACATTAGGCTACAGCTATTACCTACAATGTTACCTTCAGAAGTAACAGTAGGCTACGGCTATTACCTACAATGTTAACTTCTGAAATAACAGTAGGCTACAGCTATTTCCTCCAATGTTAACTTCAGACGTAACAGTAGGCTACAGCTATTACCGGAATGTTAACTTCAGAAATAACAGTAGGCTACAGCTTTTACCTACGATGTTAACTTCAGAAATAACAGTAGGCTACAGCTTTTACCTACGATGTTAACTTCAGATGTAACAATAGGCTACAGCTATTACCTACAACGTTAACTTCAAAAGTAACAGTAGGCTACAGCTTTTACCTACGATGTTAACTTCAGAAGTAACAGTCAGCTACAGCTATTACCTACAATGCTAACTTCAGAAGTAACAGTAGGCCACAGCTATTACCTCGATGTTAACTTCAAAATTAACAGTAGGCTACAGCTATTACATACAATGTTAACTTCAGAAATAACAGTAGGCTACAGCTATTACCTACAATGTTAACTTCAGAAGTCACAGTAGGCTACAGGTGTTATAAAGTAAACATAATATAGTGGTATGAGTGGCCAGGTGTCACAGTGGATAACACACTCACCTTTCACCAAGGTGGCCGGGTTTGATTCCTTGATCGGCCATGAACAGGTATTAGGTCACCTGCCCCGTGGCTTTTCTTCAGGGTCTCAAGTTTCCTCCCATGTTAAAACTTTGCATGCTCTAACATCCAACAAGAGTGATTTATATCGGTTAAAGTAACGCCTTTCATAAATGTTGAAAATAAGTTCCTATTTTGTGTTAAGAGTAACTAAGATAGTTATTAAGGTTACACGACGTACCAGGATGTCTTCTAATAATTTTTCACCTGATATTTCAGTCAATACAAGAGGAACAGAGGAAACGAGAGGAAGAGCTTAAGGAATCAACAAAAACTGGACAAGTAAACAACAGATCTAGAACCTCAGCTGGGAACAACATTGACCCCAACCAAGACAACCAGGGGATCGTGGGGAGTACAGTGGCCAACCTGTTTGTGATAATCGGACTTGCAGCATTTGCTTACACTGTGAAATATGTGCTGCGTAGTGTGGTTGAATGATATTAACTTATGAACTTTGAAATATGTACTTGACAGTATCATGGTGATATGATATTGACAGTAACAGCTGGACTATAATTATTATGCATATTTCCTTCAGGATTTGGTTGTTTGTACCCTGATAGTGGATAGAATGAAGAATTTACGCTACGTTTACATCTATGGATGACAATGACTGATCTAAACGTAGAAGTTATGAGAAATTATGCTATGTTTACATCTTTGGTATATATATATATATACCGGTATAGATATTGACGATGGCTGATATTCTGAAAGTAAGTTACATCGTTAATACACACAAGCCTTCACTTAACTACTAAACTGTAACAGTAACTATATTTTTAAAAAGTTTCTTATCTGGGACCGAGTGGTTTATAAATTGTGTTTGTATCAATGCTGATCAAGTCTAAACAATTTTGCTGAATGAGTTACGTTAAATGTTTAACAACACCTGTCAATATAAAATGTTCTTTGTGTTGACACTTCATATTATTGCAGATTAACGAAATTACAGCATCTTAGAAGGATGCAGTGTTCAAATTCAAAGTAGACTTCTAGAAAGAGCCTTGATATAGGCTTTTAAAAGATAAGTTGCTCTACATTTACCTAAAAATAAGAAAACTCCATTGTGGGTTTTAATGATGTGTCAGCAGATATTACCTTTTTGTCAATATTGATTTCGTTGTATATCATAGGAAAAATGAACATGAAGGCATTTCAAGCATGTTGGGATCAATGCATGAACATGCAGATGATGTAGACGATCACAAATGAGCTTTGTTTTATTTTTGTATAATTTAATTCCACTGGTAACTACAGTTTGACAGCACAGAAAGTGACTGACAAACACTTCTTATAGACCTACAGTTCATGATGACAAAAACATCTTATAGACCTACAGTCCATGATCTCTTTTCATTGATAATTTCCTAATTGAGGAAAATCAAGCACGATTGCAGCTTTTTGGATAAAATAAAATGTTTTAAAAAATCAAAAGAATTCCAGAAAGGGAGATCACTCACCATGTCCATATTAAGTCTGCAATACAATATCTGTATGATCAGGTTAAAAAATGTGTGATTATTTCTAATATTGAGAATTATATCAAAACAACTTCTATTTCTGTGTGATAGATTTCTTATCACTTAATTACATTAGACAGTAGAATCATGATTCCAAAATCAAAACCAGCTCTAATGTCAGGACAATTTAGTGACTTGAACCCTAAATTAGAACCTGAACCCTAAATTAGACAACAAGATCTATATATTACTGTTTAACCTAGTGTCTCTACATGTGGTCCAACTGTCAGGCTCGAAATGTCCAGCCTTAATGCAGTGAGCATAGATTTGATATCACCTGTATTTGATAAGGGCACATATTGCTAAACTATCTTGATCAGAGGGGCAGCCATGTTGACAACAGTGGACTATAGTTCATCTGTATCTGGTGCTGCTGCCAGGTTCAAAGTTGGCAGAAAGCAAGTCTGCGTGTTGTATTGGATTGGGGTCGGGGCAAAGGATGATTGATTTTGACTTAAATTAGAAATAACATGATTTCAATTGTTGATTTTGAAGTTGAAAACTTTCATCTTTTATCATGTCAAATAAGTTGTCTCTATTAGGATATCTAAAAGAAGATAAATATATTCAACAAGTTTCCCCATTATCTATGTGTTTTAAGGTTATTTGATAAAAATCAGATTGTTTGCCAACAAGTTTGAGATATTTTTTATTGTTGAGTTACTACATATAATAGCAGCTTCGATTTTGATACAAAATTAAGAAGAATTTTGTTTATGAAAGTCATTACATTGTATCCCCGGATACATAAATATAATTAGATGGTATGATAACACTGAAAAATAACCAGATCTTATGATAAACAGTTTTTAATATCTAGATAACTTTCATAAGATTATTATTTATTAATTTGTTAATTTGATATATGTTGCAAGCAAAATTGATATTTCGTTAATAAACAAATATATTGTGACATTTTAACTTTTTTGTACATTAATATTATCTTTGCTGCTTTTGTTTATTATCTTCGCTTTTTCATGTATTTATTATTTTCTTTTGCTGAACAGTACCAAACAGATATTCCTGTGTTGAACATTTATAATTGTAGAGTTAAGTTGATTCATTTACTTTATGTTTGCCAATCAAGATAAGAAATAATATTTACATGTAGGATAGATAATTGTGATGAGCTGATGTTAAAAACTCCAAAAACACTGCTTGTTGCAGGCTGAAGTATTTATCTATTTATTTTGACAGCAGGTGTTCACTATTTGTTTTGTTCGAATTAACAATGACAGAAAAAGTAAAGTAAGGGGTGTAGCGACAGTGTTTTAAAAATAGATATATGTAGGAATATGAAATTGGCCTGTTCATCAGTTTGTACAATGAGCTGATGGTAATTGAAGATTGCTCTATTTTGTATGATTTTAACTACAATGTATAGCTCTAATTTGTATGATTTCAACTACAATTTATGTAGGGCTCTACTTTTTACGATTTCACCTGCAATTTATGGCCATCTTTGTACAATTTGAAATACAGTGTATAGCTCTACTTTGTACAATTTGAACTACAATGTATAGCTCTACTTTGTACAATTTGAACTACAGTGTATAGCTCTACTTTGTACAATTTGAACTACAGTGTATAGCTCTACTTTGTACAATTTGAACTACAGTGTATAGGTCTTATTTGTATGATTTCAACTACAATTTATGTAGGGTTCTACTTAGTACGATTTCACCTGCAATTTATACGTCCAATTTGTATGATTTCACCGTCAATGTATAGCTCTACTTTGTATGAACGTCAATTACAATGTACAGCTAATTTTTCACTGTAAGCTCTTTAAATACATAAACTGTTTAAGGAATACAAATATATCAGAAAACATAGCATATATTTGGATTTGGATTTAGTTCTACTTATTAACTTTTATCATCATTGCTTTTTATGGTAATGTCACTGAAATATAAACATCATGTGATAATGGTTTTGTTTGTTATTCTAAAAATGTTTGTCAATATGATAAAATTGTTGAATGAAATGTATGAAAAAACATCAAATATGTTTTGTTATGTATTCATAATATAAGGTTGTACTAACATACATATATAGCAATACCAAACCTTGATCAGTGGTCAAATTTAAGTTGTCGTCCTGGTGGGACCTTTTTTCCTGATCAAAATTGAAAAAGGAACCGGCACAACAAAATATCAAGAGGAACCTAGGTATGCTTAAAGATCCCTGCAGTGCTTTCTGAGAAATAGCAATAATAAACTTAAGCTGTCAAAATTGAAGATGGTGACCTCAAAGCCATTTTATTCTTTCAATCAATTTCAGAATTGATAAGGTTCAACTAAGGATCAAGAGAAACTATAAATATGAAATTTAAGAAAGACCTGTCTTAATATTCCTACAGAGAAAGGAGTAACAGGAATCGCAGACGAAAGACAATTTAGCATGTACCAAAGAATACAGTTTCAAAAAAAACTATTCTTGGGAACAACACATAGGTTCCATCAAGTGATCTGTAACATGTACATTGTATTTCAGAAGTACCAACTCTGCATGGTAAGAGCAACAAGAATACCACAAATTAAAGGGTACATAATGTGTCCGTTACATGTTGAACCTGAACGGCTCGGAGGATTTTGACCAAATTTGGTCTGGAGCATCATTGGCCAAAGGGTTCTCAGTTTTGTATAAATGGAGGGTATGGTCGCCCTGGGGGCAGAGGGGTGGGGCCAAATAGGTAAATCTTTAAAAATCTTCTTCTCAACCAAGAGAAGGATTTTGACAAAATTTGTCCTACAGCATCTTTGGACAAAGGAGTCTCAAGTTTGTATAAACGACGGGTGTGGTCCCTCTGGGGGCAGAGGGGCAGGGCCCAATAGGGGAAATAGAGTTTTTTTTTTCTCTCCTACTATACAAGTGAAGGGATTTAAACCAAATGCAGTCTGGAGCATGATTAGGGACAAAAGAATCAATTTTGTATAAACTGAGGTGTGTGGGCCCCCTTCTTTGGGGCAGATGGGTGGGGCCCATTAGGGGAAATAAAGGAAAACATTAAAGATCCTTCTTCTGTACCGTTGAAGGGATTTTAACCAAACTTGTTCTAGAGAATTTTTGGGCAAAGGGAATTGAATATTTATAAATGGAAGATGTGTCTGAAGCATGCTTAGGGGGAAAAAACTCAATTTGTTTAATTTGTATAAAAAGGTGCATGTGAGGCCCAATAGGGGAAAATTGGGACATAACATGGAAACTCATTTTCTTGGTGTCTTTCCCACCAAAACAGATTTATATGTAGTTCTTCTTGCAACTTTTTTTCTTGTACTCCTTTGATAAATCTGTATGGTACTCAGCAGTTTTTAAATTGAAAAATAAAATACCAGGTGAGCTATTAAGGCCCCTGGGCATCTTGTTTACTTTCTATTTTAAGAAGTTTTGTCTGGACAAGAGAAAGGTATGGTTTACCTTTAACCATCACAAGTAACCTAGACCTTAAGGATGGAATTAGGATATTATTTCTACTGACAGAAGGATAATCAACCTGATACAACTATACCCTCCCTTTTCATTTCGGGGGGTGTAATGAACATGGCAGTCCATAGTCCCCCACTGATAATTTATTTTACAAAGCTGTACATCTATCTTAGGGTATAGGTCATAGTGGCATACTTTTTGTACTCCACTGGCCTAGACATGCATACTAAATCCGGTTATTCCAGGTGAAATAGTATTGTAGATATGTCCCAAGCAATCTTTTTTCAAAGGTTGAGGTAAAACATTTCAACCCATAGGTCACAAAGACCTTTTTTCACTGGACACTGCACCGCCCCAAGACATACAATGTACTTACATACCAAATCTGGTTACTCCATGTGAAATAGTTTAGAAGATATGCGATGGACAAACTCTCCAGAAGGACAAATGCATTGATGGAGTGCAAACCTTTAGTCGAAACCCCCAAGGAAACTGGGGGATTCATAACATTTTATACTTGCTGTGATCTTAACTTTTAGCTAAATTTCCTCCAGTTTCACAAGCAGGGGAGTACATGATTTTTGTGTCGCCTATGACGGATGTCGGAAAGACATATAGGCGCTGCTTTTCCAACGGCAACGGCGTCGTCAACAATGTTAAGGTTTTGCGTTTAGCTCTGTTTCTGACAAAGCTACACCAACAAAACCTTGATCATAGATGTAGCATGGGTACTGGAGCCTACTGCACTAAAAACATTTCATTGATTTCTGCATTTTTTTGGTAAAAACCTCAAATTTCTGGACCAAAAAACTCAATGTTAAGGTTTTGCGTTTAGCTCTTACATATTAGGCTGTTACTGACAAAGTATAAATGCTAGAGCAACCAAACCTCAATCATACATGTATCATGGGTAGTAGAGCCTACTACTCTAAAAACGGATAAAAACCTGAAATTTCTATCAATGAAAACTAAAGCAGTTTCTTCTGATTTCATCAGATTTATTTATACAAGTTAATCACTCCTGAGTAAAGTAAAAACTTCAAATACTGTGGGAGGCTGGGTGATCTCTGGCTTAGCACCTTGATTAGGTGTCATAGAACTGGTACATGTCTTAGAACACAAAGTTTGACTTATAGACACTACTAACATGTTCATACCTAATCTAAATATATTAAAAGTCTCTCACTTACCTTTTGACTGATACTATATACTGATTGTGTTACTGTATTAACAAGTTGTAAAACTGGAAATCACTTCCTGACATTTAAATGTGACATTGTTTTCTTTTCTTTTTTCAGAAGTACATCTGTCTTTTGAAGGTACATTTGCTCCAGTAATTAATTATAATCAATAAATGTAACAGTTATTTCATATGCTACTGTTAAAACAAACCGCATATATTGACAAAATCAGTCAAGATTACATAAATACATCTAGCACTAACATACTAAATTTACCTATCTAATTAAAATTAGACTTGTACTTCTGTTCCTCTACAAATATTGGTGTGTATCGTAGAGGAACGGAATTGACAATTTAAAAATAAAATTGCCTAATTCACTCCTCGCAAAACATTTGCATCAGGAATCAAATCAACCAAAAACTTAACACAAATCTTTAATATTTTCAAAGATTGAAATTCAACACTAATATAACATGATACATGTATAGGGATTCAAGGTTATTTCGTGGACATTTAAGTTAATAATTGCACTTTGAAAATGTGCATTAAATGACTGGATATACTTATCAGGGACTGATAAAGTTTTATCCTTCAATGATTGCGAGATTGTCACTATGTTAAATGGAGCATTCTTCGATGCGCATGGTTTTCCCAACAAAACAACGACTAAATCGGGATTGAAAATATCCTCACTGCAATCAGGGCTTAAATATAATTAGCACATACCTGATATCTTTCAAAATAGTAACATATTCTAGGTTTCAATTAAAGAAGTTAATTTTACTGTAGCAGTAGTGTTATTTTCTTGGCAAAATAAAACTGAAAATTTGACATCATTGTATATTTGAAATATTTACTATTCTAGTCATGTAAAACCTGTGAATTCAGCTGATAGAATAAACATAATACATATCTTAATACGTAATAAAAACAGGATCCTAATAATCTGGCAAGACAACTGGAATCAGGAACAGAGTATGTAATAATAGAACAGAGAAAAAGTATTGATAACGATGCATGATTTTTTTTTTATACAATTTACAGGCATTTATGATACATTATATCCTCGACTCATATCAACAATTACAAATACGAACGATAGCAAAACATTTGAACATGTTTTTTTGGATCTCAGTCATAAACTGTAATAAAAATAAGGAAAAAAAATTCAGGAACCAAAAAACCCACTCATCAATCAAACAAAGCAATAACATACCAGTTTCTACATGATATATCGTCTACCTCTTGGAATATAATCATTTACTCTAAACAAACATGTGAGGAACATGGTTGGTTAATATATTGTACTGAACACAAAAAGATTCAAAAGCATTACAATGTATAATGAAATAAAATTATAACTATCAAAATAAATTTTCAAAAAAACATTTTTTGTCAGATCCCATGTTCATAAGGATGAGAATTTCTATGTTTTTTTTCTCTCCAAATGGTACACAAATACTCGCAAATTCAAATCAATAATAGTGTGGAAAAAAAGTTACAGGTAAAATGTGCAATAAAATGTATTGTTTAACGTGGCATAATAATATTAACAACAATACAGAAATTAAAGAGCTTGATATAATGCTTTTTTTGCTTCTTGATACATGTTTATCTTTACGGTAATGCTTTAATGCTTGCTTTTTTTTCACACCTTGCTTACAATCAATATATTTTGGTCCTTTTTTTATTTTTTATTTTTTATTAAGAATGCCTCAATTTATCCCCAACCCCCTTTATAATGCCAACATTTCTCAGGACAAATGGTGGCAGTATAACAGGGTTTTACTGTACAATTTTCGAAACTTGAAAAGGGAAGTGAAATCTTAAAAGAAACTGGTCAGGCTTTATGAGTACAACAAGTATTAATATACAATTAACATTACCTGTACCAGTACCTGAATATTTCAGCTGCTAGTCCGAGAGATATATTTGTATAAACCAAAATTAAATCTTTGAATGTAATCATACCATTTGTAAACGATCTATTTCTTGCTTCAACGAAAACAAATAAATAACATTGACGACTGTGATAAAATTCAAGTACACTCTTAGTGTATATTTATCTAGATTCATATTTGTTGCTTTAAACTTTTTATTCGGGGCAAAACAAAGCTAGGATGAATCAACATTATGATCAATAGCAATGAACAGTTTTAGAATATAGAAAACATAAATGTAACATCTCATAAATACCATTAATGACCAAAAAATAAAACTGTATCTATTGGCCAGTATATATGCTTGAATTTGTTCAATGATTTGAAGGAACTTCATGATCCATGCATGTATTATTGCAACTTTATTTAACAAAGGTTTCACTATGATTGGAATTTAGAGAGTACAAATAAAATGACAAACCGGAATGCACAATGCTAATATCCTGATAAAAAAAATCTTTCTTTTCATGTGCTGTCATAAGTTGTTGACATTGTGTTGGGTTAGCTGCCCTGTCCCTGGCGATGTCTGTGACAGAAATCATGGCCTGGTGGTGACTGAAGACGACATGGTGTACCAGATCTGGTGGTACCTATACAGCGAGAACTGGTCGTACTCAAGGGCGTGGAGGATCTGTACAAATATAACACAGGTGCTTTAATAACAATATACAACCAAATAAAGTTATACATTCACATTTTTCAATCATTTATGCATTTAACTATATATGACAGGTAAATAAAACATTTCAATAGACAAAGTGACTGTTGAAAGTTGATGAACCTTGCAGCACTTCCCCTTCTTAAACATTCCTTAGTTTTCTGTAAAGCTTTCAAACAGTCAACAAACATGTATGTCAGGTATAACATGAAAGACAGTGAAGCATTTTTTAAAGTGAAATTTTAACAATTTCATTTTATGAAAGATTAACAAATTCATTATAGTATAAATGTAAGAAATACATAATTTTCAATAAAACACCAGGCTTTAAAGTCTTAATCTGACACCCATCAGTTTTTTGTTCTTAACCTTGAAAGAGGGTCAAGGCAATTTATGTGAACCTGTCAGGGTCTTCTCTTTAACCACAGCAATGCAAAATAATAATTTAATACAGGTGTCTCAACTGTAGGCATTATGCTTCTATAAAACTTGTTAATATTTTTTTTATATGTTCTACATCTTTGACCTTGAATGTAGGTCAATGCTATTTAAAATTAATAGCACTTCCTGGCTAAGTAATGTTTTAAACCACATCTGATGTAGTATATCCTTTTTTATGTGATCTACCTACCTGGATGCGTGTCTGAAGGACGTGGAAGGTATTGGAGTAGCAGAAGGACGTGAGGAAGTAGATAATCTGTCATCCAGTTCATTGATATAACGCCGCACATGTTCTAAGTCATCCGGCTGCAAAATAGAAACACCATACTTGATATGTTTCATGGGTGGATAGGCAGTGCAGTGGATAGTGCACCCCTTCTCACCAACACAGCTGGGGTTCAATTCCCCGATCGGAGGTGAAACAGTATTGGGTCACCTTCCCAGACACACATTTTCCCGGAGTACCGGTTTCTTCCACCACTAACACCCCCTGCAAGCTTCCATCGTAGCCAGCCAGAGTGATAAGATAATTTCATAAAATTGTTTTATAATTATTGGAAAAATAAATGAGGTTTATACACACTGTTACTATAATACTTATATGTTGATCATGGTTTTAAAGACCATAATTATGTTTCCATTGGAAAATACTTCAGGACTGATTGGATAACTAAATATACACTCTGAAGCAATAATGCCAGGCTATGGCAATAGTTACAGGCCCAACTATTTTCTGTTTTTAAAATCACTGATAGAAATGCTTTAACTTTATACTATGTTGGAAATATTAAAGATTGTGTTAATTTAATTGTTATGACATATGTAAGGATTGCAAGAAGGTAACCCTCAGTTTCCTCTCACAATCCTTGGTACTGAAGTTAAACCATACATGCTCTGTAGTGCTGCCTTACCATGGTAGAGGAATCTGGCCTGGGTGTTGGAATGTTATTTTCAGGAGTTCTAACAACTGGGGTCTGTCCATCTCTATCTCGCAAACTCATCTCATGTAAATTGTCATTCACTGAAAATAAATAATCAAATCAATCAAATAACTAATTCATATAATTTGACTGATAAAATGTAACAAGGTACTTTATTTCCTGTTTTGATTTTACTCCAATACATACATATATATGATGTAAATTTTAACAAACACTCATTGAAGAAAAATATATTTAATAACACTTAAACACAACCTATGTTGTGATAACTGTCTTCTTGATCTGTGTGAATTTTTCTATTACTATTTACTTGGCAAAAAAAAATCGAAATAAAAAGATTTACAAGAGTGACTTAATCTCTGTAGTGTTGTGTTCAGTTCCCTGAGGTCCTCCACTGTGTACTCTGTATACAAAGAGTTGTCTCCTCTCACATGTGTTGTGTCTTTCAGAGCAAAAAGCCTTTGAGACGTTGTCATGTTTTTCTGCCTCCAAATATGGTAAAGGCAATTCCCTGCGAAAAGAAGGAACATTTTTTTGTATCAAAACAAACCCCCAGACAATATAGTCGAGTGTCGGGGATGGGGATTGGAGCCATTTGTTCACTATCACAGGAGGGATATTGTACAATATTTTATAATGAAAGTAATTCTTTGTACCTTAAAGAGAAACAAGTTCTAAACATTGAAAATACAGATTCTATCTAATGATGGAAGATATTTTGTCTAAACATTTCAGATATTTGTAAACATCGGATGGGTTCTTAAGCATTTGAATATAGTATAGATTTGTTTTTATTTTTTTTCAAATTTCAATTCTAAAGCTGTATTTTACCAGTATTCAACCCCCAAAAAATAGTATTAAGTAATGACAGAAGATTAACTTGTTAGAACTACCACAAATATTGTTTAAACAAGAAAGTCAAGACAGCACTGATCAGTACTTTAAAACAAAATCATCTGTTACAGACTGCAACCACAAAATAGTGAATATAGTTGTATTCAGCAATGCTACATATGTACATTACTTGTCCAATATTGACTAACCTTTAAGTTTTCTAATGAAACCCAAACCCAAACTCAGCTGTATAAATATCATGTTTCTTTTGTTACATAGGCATACATACCACCAATGATAGCAAGACAAAATGCTGTAAGTTGCTGGAATCCGATAGTACACTCAAACTGGAGTTCTAAAATGCTACTGGCAATAACTCCCATTAGCATAGTCAGTCTGGAAAACCTTGGGATTTGTAGAAAGGAGACAACCAGTGCCATAACCAGAAAGTACCCAATGTGTTGGCCTAAAACCAACAGGAATGATAACTTCTCATCTGAAAAATAGAAAAGATTAAACATACGTGTAGTAGATATGACAGAATAATGTATACCCTTGATCACTGTGGAATCCTGCTAGACATAGTAACAAGGAAACAATATATCTTGTTCAATTTCCACTATTGCACATGTTCCAAGTCATTAGTTTCAGGTGACTTCAACTAATGACCACAAATGACAACCGATTGAGACTGTAAAAATATGACAGTTTAAAGTGCAAAAAAAAGTTAGTTGATTCTGTTTTAAAATTAATTCATCTGTGAGAAGGATATTTACTAAATGAGTGATGAAAACATATATTTGAAATATTTTCAAGCATAATCTTATAGTTCGAATTGTGTATGCAAACATGGGGTTTCATACAGGAGAGGAGGGAGGCATATTTGTATTAATATTATATGAGTGGTGAGGTTAAAAAACAGATCTGCCCACCATCTCTTATGCTGAATCAGTGTTAATATTTGATTGGTGATGGGGTATTTGAACAAGAAGCCCAGAGGGCCTGTATCGCTCACCTGGATACCAAGGCAATCATGGCAAAATATTCTCCGAATGAGATCAAGGGAATATGCCGGACCCCAAGGCCAATCCTTGTAGCATATCTGTATTAGATTCTTCATGCCCAGCAATTTTATGTATGGTTATGGGGTGGGAATCTCAACTGTTTCCAAACTTTGACTCAGAAACTAGGTCCCTAGGGTTGTGGCCAGACCCCAGGATCAATTCTAATATCGTGACTGCATTTGTCTCTTTTTGTCCAGCATTTGTATATATAGTTTTGGGGTGGGGATCTCAACCATTTCAAAGTTATGACCCAGGGGTTAAGTCTGCAAGGGTGGGGCAGACCCTGGGGTCAATTCTAATATCATGACTGCATTCGTCTTTTTATGCCCAACAATTGTATAT